AAAAAAAAAAAAGAAGATTTACATTCAGTGATTGACAGTTCAATGTATAAAAGTAGGAAGTAGCAGTAAGCAAATAATGATTAAAATTTGCAGGAGAATTGATTATTTGTTCTGCGCCAAACTTTCTCGTTGCAAAAAAATCTATTTTTTTTCCTCCTTCTTTTTCATTGACCAAAAAATTTCTTCAACTTTGCTCCAGAATTGTTCGCTCTAAGAAACATCAGCTTAATCTTTAGTCCAACTCAAGCCTACAAACAACTTTTTAACAACTCATATTCTTAGAAAAATAAATTTCTCGTGTACTCTACCAAACTTATTTCCCTTCACGACAAAGTACTTACATCTAAATATAAAAGTTGTTCTTATCTACAGAGCTCAAGATCAGTGCAGTATTTTGACAAATGAAGGTATACTGTTCGCATATCATAACTTAACTTGTTTTTTCTTTCTTGAGAAGAAATAATTTACGCAAACAAGTCACTATAAAGAGCGAAATCTTGAAAGTGGCAATAATTATAAGTGACAAAACAAGAACAATAAAGAAGATAACATCTATTGAGTAGTACTGGATAAAGTTTAATTTTACTGAATAAGGTGTTAAGTTTGAAAGATCTTTGAACTTCCCCACGTACTCTGTCCACCGTACCAGAAGTTCCTCAGGTTTGGAAGGTTTTTTCTGAATCATCTTTTGAACATGTTTCACCGCTTTTGCGTAACTGAAAACAGTGGTTTAAAAAAAACAGTATATATAAAAAGATTATTGACAAATTAACAAACGGTACCGCCTATTTAGAAGGTACTCTTTTTAGCTACAGTCCTTTCACTATTTTTGCACGTTTTCTTGTTTATAAGATACGCAAAAAGAAAAGTGGATCTGTCTTTCTTTTCCTCTTACCCTTTCTGTAGAAAACACCCGTATAACAAATCTGTAACCTCTTTTTACTTTTGCCAAGTGAAAGGAACATTAGCAACGAAACAGGGAAAAACAATACAGCTGGAGAAGAGTTCTGATTAAGTGTTTTTTTTAAATAACAAAATTGATTGACCCTATGATGCAAATACTCATTTTTGTAAAGCTTCATTTTGGCTCTTTACCTTCTTTTTCCGATCTACACCAATCTAGAAAGAGTAAAAATTAATATATTTCAACTGCAAGAGGAATGATAACACCAAGAAACGATATATTTGGGGGGCTATAAGTTTTGAAATTCTGCTAAGGCAGCACTGCGTAGGTTGCAAAACTTAACCTTAATGTTTTATTTTAGGTAGTAGAAGCTTAAAAATTTTGTTTCCTGGAACCGTAGTGACTATATTTTTTGAAATTACTTTTAGTAAACATTTCTATTACTCGTTTAGCTTACAGCAACAAAGTGTATGGTGCTCCTTACTATGAAATTAACCCATTTGCTTTAGCATATGCAATATAATTCCTGCTTCGCTTTCAGAAGTATTTAATCTTTCAAAAGAAATAATTTTGACAAAAGACCTTTGCCTTTCAAAAATTCTGCACTTTTTTAAAGTTACAAAGGTTTTAACTTTTTTTTCTTATCAGGAACAAAATTTATAATGTCGAGATCTCACCGAATTAGAGCGGTAAGCGAACATTAGCGGAACATTGAAGCTTATTAAGTCGCAACTTTTATTCAGAAATACCAAAAGTTTATTTGATTGGCAGCCAAACGTCATAGAAGAAATAACTGGCTTAGATACAGTGGCAGATACTTCGCTTTCTAGTCGGTTCAAGTAATCATTGTTTGGAAAGCAGTGAACCATGATAAAAAAATGAAGCATCAAATTTTCAAAAAAACTGCTGTTCAAAATTTTTGAACACCGAAGTGTTTATGAATTCAGATGTGAGCAATTTCAAGTCAGAGTGAGGTAACCCGGATTCTAAAACTTTCTAAATCCCAAATGCTGTCTTGTCCATCCACGTTGTTTATAAACATTTGAAGCTTCTTCCTCCTCTAAAACTCTTCTTTTTACCCACTAGGTGCACTGCAGAGTGAAGGAGTGAAGCCACATAATCATTTCACAGAAGAGGTCTGAGGAGGAGCATTGTATAAATAGCAAATTAAAGAAAGTTTAATCCCATCAAATGCTCTCAAAATTAAGTATTATTATTCAAATGTAGGTCCAAATAATGTTTCACAGATTTTTTGAAACGGAAAAACCAAATGAGTGCTTTGAACATCATCTTTTCAGATTATATATTTTGCATTAAAAAAATGTTAAATGTTCAAATATTTTAATTTTTGAACTGTTTTTTTTTTCATGTAACTCCAACTGTATTTTCCAATTTGATTCTGCTGACATTTATACCCTTTAGTAAGTATGTTTTATTTTACACCTGTAAAAGTTGTTTAAACGATGAAATTGATCGACCTTCGTCGCTCAGAAATAGCTGACAGAAACTACACCCTTTTTGTGTTGCACACCCACATTACTCCCGTTTTTAGAGCTTATTGCAGTGTCGAACTTTCATGAGTTAAAAAATTTTTTGTTCTTGAAAGAACCTGCTAAACAAGGTTTTCTGCTTTTGGTGTTATATATCTTTCATTGTCCCGAATGTTCCTTTAAAAAATTTTTTTGTAAAATAATTACAATTTGATATATCTCATACCTTTCATCTTCAGTTAGAGTTTTTATCGCTTCTTTAAGAGCTTCTTCAGAAACTTGACTTTTTTGCAGTAAAATTCCAAAATGACGTTTTTCAGCCAAAAGTGCATTCATTGGTTGGTCAACAAACAGCGGAATAGCAATCATCGGTACTCCAGCATTCACCGCTTCTATTATGCTATTGTGACCAGCGTGTGTTATGAGTGCTCAAGTTTTTTGATGATCTTAAAAAGACAGAAAATTGCCGAAAGAATATACAGTTTGTCACCAAAAAAGCTGTTGACAAAAATTAAACTCACGAAGAAGGTCGGTTTGTGGAAGCCATTCATAAGTATGGACATTTTGAGGGAGCTTGGACTGCAAATCTTCTCCATCATAACGCGTTATAAACTCGATATGAGGAAAGCTTCTGTAAATCGAAAAAACAGAACAAATATTATAGAAAATAAATCTTGACAGTTGCACTACACTAAGATAATTCGCAACTTTTATTAAAGTGAGTGATTTAACTTGGGAAATTCATAGCATGTTAAGACCGGTGTGATAATAAACCGTATTTTCTCGGCCTGCCCACCAATTTTATCTTTACCTCATAGATAGACCTAGAAATTCGTCTGTGAAAAGCAAAGTGTTTTTGCTGGAAATTTAAAACTTTTTTATTTTGATTTTAAAATTTTTTTTT